GGGACACAGAGAGAAGGGACTGCAGGTGCAGGGGGCGGGGGGCGGTGGCGCTCTGGTCCCTGGAGCTGGGGAAGTGACAAGGACAGGGGGCCTCTGTGTGAGCAAGATCTGAGCACTTACTGGTCGGGGACGTCGCTGGAAGGGGGTCCCAGGGATGTGACTGCACGGTGTGTGTCTGTGCAAGTCTGGCCGCGTGGCCCTGGTTCAGTTTGGGCCCCCTGTCCCCCCACACCCGAGTTTCCAATAAGCACGTGCACCCTGAACAGCTGAGCGGCAGGCATGAAAGACAGGCCGCGGCACTTGGAAGGGCGGGCTTGTGGGAGTGGGCCGGGCCCCAGGAGCCCTGGGAGCCGGGAGTCGCGAGCCTGCTGCCTGCAGCTGGCAGAGCGGCCGCCTGCTGGGGCCATGGGGACCTGGGTGCACTTCATTTTGTCTTGTCTTTTTGGATGCTCTTCTTGGTCACCCTCCGAAGGGCCTGGTGGAGAGGCGGGGGAAGTGGGAGGTCAATGGTCTCTGTAGGACAGCCTTGGTCACTGACACCTCCCAGGGCCTGGCCTCGTTCACTCTGGGGTGTCCATCTGACCCCCAAGGCCCAGCCTTGTCAGGGTACACAGTGTAGTGGTTGCCATGGGGGGTGGGGGGAGAAGTGGCCGAGGGCGTGAAGTGCAGCACTGAGAACTGGGTCTGAGGGCGGAGGCTCAGTGTGAACTCCCCGTCACAGGGTATAGCCAAGCCCCGCTCCTGGGCTGACCCACGAAGGTCTGGCTGCCCAACCCTGCCTCCCTCTCCGCTGCTTCTAGCCCCTCTTGATTAGTTGAAGTGGGGGGGGGGGGCGCAAGGGAGAGGCTAGGACCACTCCCAGTCTCTCCCCAGCACCCTGTTGGTGATCTCTGTGCTGTTGCAGGGACTGACCTGGAACTGATGGGCATGGCCCGGGCCAGCACACAGGCTCTGGAGGCCCCGCTGCCCCCCAGACACCCAGTCCTTTGTCAAGTTGGGACTACGTTAGAGTGACTTCCCTTCCTTTCAGGGGGGGGCGCTGCACAGACACAAAGCGGGGCTCCCCAGGCCTGCACCCCAGCACACTTCAGGCCAAGCCGCTCCCAGTCCCTGCTTCCCGGTGGGTGCAAAGGGGTGTGAGGCCATGGGGCCCCTCCCAGGCTCCGAGAACCCACAGCCCACAGCCAGCCTCAGCGCATCTTTGTTCCCCAAGACCCCAACCCACAGGTACTGCTGTCACAGATCTTCCGGCCAGAGAAGAGCCGGTCCTGGGGGTTCTGAGACCCCCTAAGTCAGCGGTTCTCAACCTTCCTTTAATATAGTCCCTCACGTTTGTGAGCCCCCCAACCATAAAATTATTTTCGTTGCTACTTCATAACTGTTATTTTGCTACTGTTATGAATCATAGTGTAAGTATCTGATCTGCAGGATGTATTTTCATTGTTACAAATTGAACATAATTAAAGCATAGTGACTCATCACAGAAACAGTATGTAATTATATATTGTGAAATATTTATTTCTAATGACAAATAAATGAAATTTTGTCTTGTAGCATTGTGTAGCATGCATGGGTAACAGTCTTCACGCAGGTACTCGTATGTGGGCGTATCTGCATGTGGGCGGACCCGCCTGGAGACGGATAGAGGAGCGGTGTCTCGGTTCCTAAGACCATTGGAATATGTTTTCCAATGGTCTTAGGCAACCCCTGTGAAAGGGTCGTTCAACCCCCAAAGTGGTCATGACCCACCAGTTGAGAACCTTTGCTATAACACAAGAACTAGATCTGGTCATTAAAAAAACCCAACATCAAAAAGTCTGGGACCAGATGGTT